GTAAACGTCCGTGATCAAATCCTGGTGATAAACACCCTTTTTGTTAGATTACAGTGGTCGGGCTGAACGGATTTTAGGTTATAATTCTGCTCCAGAAATAAGATGTTTGTGGTTCTTCTAGTAAATTAGTCACACTTTAGACAGATTTAAGTGTAATCGCTCTATGTTCAGAAAACATTCTCAAACAGGTAAAATACATCATATGACAATTAGGACATATTTATTTTAGGTCAAATTCTACCACCTAATTTGGTTAAAATCATTTTTTCCTAATTCCGGTGAGTTGGGGCAGTTAATGTAATCATTTATAGTAAATATATCCCCTGACTGGTTTAATAGCACCAGTGAAACATGCAGAAGTTGTGTGAAATGTGTTGGAATAATTTTACTCACATTGGAAGGTACGTGTGTTTGCCACTTTTCAAACACACACCCACAGAGAGGAGCTGCCACCGTGATTAAACCACTACTCCCAGCTTTGAAGCTGAGAGTTTTGCGTTCCCTTCTCCAGATGCTCCCTTGCTGAGCTTCTCATTTTGGATGTGCACTTATTTTTTTTAAATTTTTTACCATTAAATACTACATTGAAATGTAAAATTTCCTTAAGCAACTTATGTCAACCTAGTTCCTTATGTGTAAAGAGTAACATAACACATATAACGTTGTATATTTTAATGTAACTAGAGTTAGTGGAACCAGTCGGCATACATTTGTTAAGTAAATTCAACAAAACATTATTTAAAGTGTACTTGCGTGTGCTTTTTTGGGATCCATTTGAGTGACTTTAACCAATCTGGTGGTACTGTAATTAAGTCTGTTGAATCCCCGGATCCTGTTGCTGTTATCGTTTATACACTCTAAGAAATAAAATGTTGAATTTTCTCACCAAGTTATGTCAACTGGTTCCGCTAAACCTAGAGTAAGCATTGTTATACGTTGTTGTTTGGGATGTTCCAGTCACATTCTTTGCTCCCGATCTGATACTTCAGCAATAATTTGGTATAAGAAAAAAAGAGAAGACATCCAAGTTGTCCTTTAAGTTTATATTATTGCCACAAAACATTTTTTAGGAACATTGCTAAAAAAGGGTTAAAATTACGAAAATATTTAAAAGTAGCATTGCTGCTCGTATTTCAAATTGTTTACGTCCTTGCAGCTGTATCGAGTGACGCGCGTTCCAGCAACGGGGACGGCATGCGGCACCACGGCCGACGGGCTCACTTTTCTCTGCACAACACCTGTAGCTACCGTGGCAGCACGGCTCCAGCACGGTGAAACCCGATGTTATGTTTTCAGGCGGCAGTTTCTCTTTTTTATTAACGCATCTTTTACTGCTGGCTGGCTCCGTGTTTTTGTCCGAGTTGCTGCAGTGAACTGGGAATACTGGTGTCAAACTAGGGCTTAAGGGAAACAGGTGATTCGCTTTAGCGACACTTGAAGGAAAATGTCAAGAAAGTAGTTTGTTTATAAGGCTGAGACCCCCCCCGGTCCTCATGCCCCTTGTGTCCCCCCCACTTTTGAAGTCAGAACTCCGTCCATGCCAGTATACACACATTACATATATTTTTTATGTGCTACGCTTCCAAAACACGTCACACTCAGCAGTTTAGATAGGGTCAGACAGGAAGTCAAACATGAAATGAGTGTTAAACATCAGGATATCTTTCAAAATAAAACAGCTGCAGCTAAAAGTACACCATTTCCTATTAAAACCCCCGTAGCGGATGTAAACTGAACAGAAAAGAAAGCACAGACGTCTTTGGAAACATGCAGCTGTCTTTCCCTCTGCTTGTTGTTGTGTGGACCTCTGAAATCATCCGTGCTGTTGCAGTTCTCCTACGACTTTGTGACCTCACGGATTCAGCTGCAAGTAACTCTAGTTTTATCTGTTTCTCCTATTCCGGTCTTGTGATTTTGTTGTGAAGCACTTAGTATTTTTACTTGTGAGAGGTGCTATATAAATACACGTTACTTACTGCCTATTTACTGTCTGCCGTAAACTGTGGGGCTCTACGGTGTTGTTTTTGTTGAAGAAACAAAGAATATTAATGTAGAAGAACTTGATGAAATGAAAACAAGACCATAGTTATAACATTTGTAAATCTCTCTCAGGATGAATTTTAAAACCTGTTTGTTGTTTTTTCAGGTTAAATGACCATTTCCCCGTTTCCCAATCCTTTGAAAATTATGTGATTATGCCCGATTTCCAGTCAGATCGGAGAATCCATAAACTAACATTTGTTTTTGTTTAGTGGAACCAGTGGAAACAACTTGGTTAGGTAAATTCAAGATTTCATTTCTTAGAGTGAATTGCCGTGTCAATTAAAATAAAATACTATACGCTTGAAGACATCCATGGGTTCGTAAAAGGGTTGTGATGGACCCTAGCAAAGCTTAGCATAATTTAACTTTAAATTTGCTTCTGGATAGAAAAGCGAATCTGAATGTTCGCTTATCATTTAGATCCTCCATGTAGATATTCACCGTGTTTCTGCAACCAATTATTTCTATTCATTAACCGGCTGTTATTTACTTGATGATACGCTGCTTCAAGGAACGCCCACCCCCGTACACACTGTGGAGCTACTCTGACTGTGAAACAGTTTAAAAGTGAAACATGACAAAAGCACAAATAAATCACATTTTTGTACGACTTAATCAGCAATGAACCAATTTCACAACTTATCAAACTTAACTTATTAAAGTTTAAGAGAGCAGCAGTGATAAAGATGTAAGAGAAAATGTGTGATAGATGAAGAGTTATGTTTGGTTGTAGTTGTTTGCTTTGCTGAATTATTTATTTTCATTGCTTTAGAGCGATTAAGTTGTGTCAGTCTGGATGTGTGTGAAATAAAAGTCATCATAAAGTTCACGTGGAAGAAAAGTACTCTTCAGAGGGCAGCAAAGAAGAGGAAGAGGAGGTGCGAGGGTACGCTTCATAACTCAAGAACACGCAACTCTTCAACAGACTGAAAAACAAGCAGGACGATACATTAAATAAGAATAAACACTGATTTAGTTACTGAAGCAGAGCAACATTTTATGGAAGGTCACCAAACTTCACTGTGTTCTTCTTGATTGGTAAATAATGGATTTTCATATAAGTTATTAAGTATGAGTAATTTTCTAATTCCTAGAATTTTCTGCTTATTTATTCAGGAAAATCTGAATGTGACATTTTACAATCTCGTGTACAATACTGTCTGAGAGTGGCAGCAAGCGTGGTTACAAAACAACAAATGTAAGATATTTGCCTGAACAAATAAAAAAATCTTCTATGCTTAAGTTTCGTTAAGATTACACTTCCAATAAAGTTAGTTTGTGAATTTCCTGCAGGGACGAAGACTTTCGCTGGATACCAGAGAAACAGCAGAATTAATCCATGACATTTTTCTAAAGTAAGCAGAACTCTGCGGTGCACGGCATTTGGCTGAAACACTGCGCCACATCTCCAGAACTGTAAATACTGTTATCACTGGTACACAGCAGATGGAGCACGATGCAGCTTAATGGAGCTCCTCTTCTGTCATCTTGCTGATGAGTTCTGGCCTTGATTATGCAACTGGCAGAGGATGCAAGGAGCACAGCCCAAGTTACTTGAGTAACTGGTGATAAGCAAATATGAGATTACTCTCAGGTCTGTAGAGACGGCCATTCAGGATCAAATGACTACTGGGAGGGGAAGTGGCATTGTGTTGAAAGCTTGGGACAGCGTTTTTTCGGGATAAGTGTGAGCCGTTTGGAGAGCTCTGCTCAGTCACAATTAACCACGAGAAGCTAGAGGAAAGTGTTAAGCCACGCTCTAGAAGTCAACTGGATTTAAGAAAAACCCTGTAGGATACTACTGACACGATTTCAGGGCTGGGCGATAGAAGGATAGCAATATGGATCTCCAAATGACTTTTCTTTGATAGTTAAATGAGAATGGGTTGATCAAACGTCCATATAATAACAGCCAATCATTAAAGGTACAATAGGTTCTAATGTCTCAGTCATGTTTGGAAGAAGTTCACAATAAAACCGATCATCTTCATGGCCGGTAAAAATAGATAAAAGGAAATTGGATAATCGATTAATCGGATGGGGTCTCGACACGATTAATCGATTAATCGGATTACATGGGGACATTTTTTAAAACTGCTAGGGAAACGTTATTTTTCTCCTTCCTTCACTTAATTAAACACAACATTATTAGAAAACAGTTCAATAGCAGAAAAACAACATGCCATCACCTAAATTGTCTTATAAGGTGTATAGACAGAGACCCTAAGCTACACCTATCTGTGACCTAAAATGCTTGGTCCAAGTTAAACAGCTTAAAGAGCAAGTCACCCCCTACCAGAGTCTAACTCCACTCCCACTTCATGTTTGAAAAATGCAACACATGCTGTTGCCTGGCAGACCGAGAGGGCGGAGCCGCTAACAAATACACACACACTCAGGCTCACGACAGCATTGTGACATCATAATGTACCAGTTTACATCATAGCATACTTCTTAGCCAATAGCGGTGGCAGATTTAAATTAAAATACAGTGCAGAGTTTTTACCTGACAACGGCACAACACTGCCAGTTTTAGGCAGAATATTTAAATTTTAATTAAGATGCACTGAAGTGCCAAATTATTGACGACACGTGTCTGCAGCATGATTAGACACTCATTTATTTAGTTTATCAGCAAAAAAAAAGTTTATTTGGGGGTGACTTGCTCTTTAAGGGCAATTCTCATCTGTTTTGTTTGATCTCATCTGTAGACATTTATTATAATTGGGGATGTCAAACAACTAATTTTTAAATGTAATTAAACATCGGCTGTGAATTAATCAAAATTAATCACTATTTCCAAAAATGACTGAAAAATACCAAATAAAACAAAAGTAAATGAATGCCATCCTCCTTGCGATGATGCCCTGGGCAACTGCCATAAAGTCACATCAAGAAATGTTGCTGATCATTCCAATGATCCCAAATAGACTCACATTAGGCCACATGAAAGCAAC